AGCACTTGGGAGGCAGAGGCAGGTGGATCTTTGTGGGTTCAAGGTCAGCCTGGTCTACATAGTGAGTTCCAGGACAGCTGAGGCTACAAGGAGACCCTGTCTCAAAAAAGACAAAAGAAAATAAGCTAAAATGTATAAAAATCAACTATGGTGGAAGATACCTATAATTCAGCACGCAAGAGGCTGAGGCAGGAGGTTCTCAAGTTTCAGCCCAACCTGGGCTATATTCAGACAACCCGTCTCAAAATAAAAAGCAGTATAAAAACCAAATGTTCAGCAAATTCTTTTGCACATGTATAAATGTTTCTGTGTGCACATGGATGTAGGTGAGCATGCATGTGGAAGTCAGAGATCAACATCTTATATTAAAGGAAAGTAATTCTTAAAATTAGCCCTTTTTCTAAAGTGATTTCAGCCAAACCTTTAAGAGTCTGCTGAATAACCATCTATACTATCAGTTCCATCTAATACTCATAATGGGAACAGCAGGGCCCTTCTCTTCAGTCTTACCTAGGATGACTATATTAGGTACTTTTGTGTCACTGACAAAATCCTGACAGGAACTATTTAATGGAAAATATATATATTTTGAATTGGAGTTTAGTTCATGTTTGTTTGGTCTTATGCTCCTGGGAAGGACATTGTAGCAGTGGGCGCCTACAGTCCTGGAGAGCTGTTCACACTGTGGTGGACCAGGAAACAGAGAGGGAAGCAGGAACTAAGGCCCAGGTATAAACTTCAAAGGCCTGCCCCCAGTTACCTACTTCTTCCAGATAAGCCCCACCCTCTAGAGGTTTCACAGTTTCCCTAAATAGTGCTCCCCATTGGAGAACAAGCATTCAAAACATTGGACTTAACCCAGAACATTGGTACTTTGGGCCTCTGTGGAGGAGGTCAGAAGATCGGGGATGGGCCACTCAGTTCCCAGGCTAGAAGAGTCAGCTACTGGTCTGTGTCCCTTTGCCCAGGACAACTCCAGAGCACACCAATGCCCTAGCTCTTGGTGCAGAGGAGACCACTCACTGCTGGAGCACACACACCACACTCCTGTGACTTCCTGTGGAAGGCCTGGATGTACCACTGCTCAGCACCCTCTGTTTGTCTTCCAGCTTTTTTCCCCCACCTGCCTCCCACTTCCAATCTCACCTACCCTCTGCTCTCCTAATCACTGTCTCCTCTCCTCACATTTCTCAGGCTTAGGTTCCTTTCTATGTCACTCAAAGCACTTATCACAGTTTACTATTATCAACTTTTTTGAGTGTGTATAAGGGACAGATTTTTAATCTTTTCCAGTGAAATATCATGAAAAAACTTTACATCTGTTCTAGTTACCACACTGGGTTTGTTTGTTTGTTTGTTTTTTAACATTATGCATGGTCTACAATAGATACTAAATATTTATAGAATGAATGAAAAGGATATTGTACCTATATCCTGGTACAATATATGCAATAATGTTTTCGTGACTTCTGAGACCATTCCCATCTACATTACAAACGAGCAGAGCTGATTCTCTGAAATACATTGATAAGGTTCACTGTGCCTGCTGCTCATAGCCCTAATTGTTTCAGTGACCCCAGATTGAAGCCAATAGTAATTCAGAGATTTCAAGAGACTAAGACAACTAGGAAAGAAATTAAGAAGGCAAATGGAAGCTCCTCTGCGGCAGCATGCCTACAGCTTATGCACATCACTCTAGTGTAAATACGACATTCATACCATGCATGGCTAGAATCTTTTTGACAAACCTGCCCACCAAAGCCCCAATTTTTCCTCATTGTTTCTTCTTGTACAACTCCAGGTGAGTTTTTTTTTGCAAGAAATGCCAAGCATAATTAGGTTAAATTTATAGTTTGGCTAGACTTTATGACTGGTTGTTCTTACATTAATAATTTAAAACCTAGGTCCCTTAAACCTTTTTTTCAATTTGTTTTGCTAACTTAGCAAAGAAAGTGATGACTGTCATTATGGCATTTTCATACATACTTTGTTTATGTTGATTCTTCTCCCCGACTGGCCTCCCCATCCCCTGCCCTGCTGCTGTTTTCCTCCACTATAGAGCCTCTTTTTACTGTTAGGTCACAAGTATCCTATCACCCTCTTCCCACCTCCTTTAAGATCTCTTTTCCTCCTCTCATGGTTCCTTTTCCAATTTCAAGGCATGCATACACATAAACATACACACACATTTCTAAACAGAATTTTAGAGAGAAAATACGTGGCATTTGCCCCTCTGAGTCTGGGTAATTTCACTAACAGTTCCATCCATTTTCCTGTTAGTGTGATGGTTTCTTTTTTCTCGATTGCTAAATAAGATTCCTTCGTGAATATGTGCTACATTTTCTTTACCCACTCATCTGTTGATGAAAACCTAGGCAGGGTCCATTTCTTAGCTAATGTGAATAATGCAGCAATAAACATAGATGTACAAGTATCTCTGTGGTAAGATGTAGAGTTCTTTGATTATGTACCCCGGAGCCATAGAGCTGGGTGATAATGGTAGCTCTGTTTTTAGTTTTTGAAGAAACCTTCATACTCATTTCCACAGTGGCTCTACCAGTTTATATTCTCACCAACAATGAAGAAGGGTTTCTTTCCCAATACTCTGGCCAATTTTTGTTGTCATTTGTTTTCTTGGTGATATCCATTCTAAGTGGGGTAAGATGGGATATCAAAGCAGTTTTAATTCTCATTTCTCTGATGACTAAGGATGTCGATCACTTTTTCAAATACTTATTGACCATTTGGATTTCTTCTTTGAAAACTGTCCAGTGCATTAACTCATTTACCGATTGGGTGATTTGGGGGTTTTATATTAATTTTTAGAGTTCCTTCTATATTCTAGATATCAATCTCCTGTCTGATATATAGGTACCAAAGATTTTTCCATTGTGTAAACTATATCTATCCTCTGTTAATTATTTCTTTTGCTGTGCAAATATTTTTAAATTAATGTCACTCTACCTGTCAATTCTTAGGATTATTTCACTGTGCTACTGGAGCTCTTTTGAGAAAGTTTTTGCTTATATCTATATCTTGAAATGTTTTAGCTATTTTTGCCTCTAATAGTTTTTCAGATATTATGTTAGGGTCATTGATTCATTTTGAATTAATTTTTGCACTGAGTAAGAAATATTCAATTAGCTTTATTCTTCTACATGTGGGTATCCATTTTTCCTAGAGCCATTTGTTGAAGAGGCTGTCTTACTTCCAGTGTGTATTTGATACTCTGGGTGAAAATTAGGTGGCTGTAGCTGTAGGGTTATTTTCTAGGTCCTCTATTCTACTACATTGGTCTTTATGTCTACTTCTGTGCTAATACCATGCTGGTTTTGTTAATGTGGATTTGTAGTACAATTTGAGATCAAGTATTGTGATAGCTCCACATTGTTCTTTCTGCTTGGAATTGCTTTGGCCTGTTCAGTTCATTAGTCCACTTACTGATCAACTTTTTTATTAATATTTGCAGTGGTTTATATATTTAAAGGTTAATTGAAATACTCTACTATGGAAAATGATTCCATTACTGAAGGTTCTGGTTTAAAGTTACAAAAACCAAACTTATAGTTAAGCCTAAAAGGGAAAATTATCGTAAGGATGGATTAAAGGGTGTGTCATCCACCTAGCAGCTATTGCTTATTTTATAATCACAATTACAATTACATGTGAAGCAAGGACAATAATCAGGACTGTAAAACTGTAGTCTAAGCATCATCAAGCAGTTTTAAGTTATTCTTGAAAAATCATATATATTATTTATATGAGATTGTACACAAAATTGGCTATGTGGTTTCAATGATAAAATAAAATGCTAAAATATTTATTATATTACTTTTTCCAAGGAGAAAATTGGAAGCTTTGACATGAATGAACAAGTAACTCTACCAAAAAAGACTAAAGACTGGACCAAAGAGCATGTCAAAAAATGGATAACTGAAGACCTTAAGATTGATGAAAAATATGGGCAAATCCTGCTCAGTGAGGAAGTGACAGGACCGGTCCTGCAGGAATTAACTAAGGAGGATCTTAGAGACATGGGGCTGCCACGGGGTCCAGCACTTCTGATAGAACGTGCATACAACAAACTGAATACTCATTCCCCTGAAAGTGGCAATCAGGATTCCAGACTGTTAGATAATGAAAAATCCTCCACAAAAGAACAAAAAAAGCCCAAACAGATAAAAAATCAGGAAGAAAAACCAATGTCATTGAATACGGATCATGATCTCAGAGAGACAGAACATACAAAAGGACAAGAAGCAAGTCTTATGAAAGAAAATGCACCGAGAGAAGCAGTGACTGAAGACATGAAAGACAGTAACCTAGAAACAGAGCCGATGTCTTGCATGCCATATCCTTTTGATTGTTTCCATGCCAGCAAACACTACATAGAACATTCTATTCTACAAGTTGCCGAAACAGGACCACTCAATCTCATTGACCCAATACATGAGTTCAAAGCTCTCACAAATACTGAAACAGCCACAGAACAGGACATCAAGATGAAATTCAGCAATGAAGTCTTCCGATTTGCATCAGCTTGTATGAATTCACGCACAAATGGTACTATCCATTTTGGAGTCAAGGACAAGCCACACGGAGAAATTGTTGGTGTAGAAATCACCAGGAAAGAATCTTTCATTGAGCATTTCAATGTAATGATGAAAAAATATTTTGAAAAGGATGATATCAATGAAGCCAAAGAATGTATTCGAGAACCAAGGTTTGTGGAAGTCCTACTGCAGAATAATACACTATCTAATAGATTTGTCATTGAAGTAGATGTTATTCCCAAACATTCTATATGTAAAGAAAAGTATTTCCAAGTTAACATGCAAGGCTATACAGCTAAAACACAGAAACAAGACCAAAATCCTTCACTCTTTGTGAGAGAAGGGGCAACCACTCCCGATATATTGGCTAATGTCAAGCAACGAGATAGAAACAAGAGAAAATTTCAAGAAAAATTAAAGTCATCGATAACACTGAGAAAAGAGGCTGAAGAAGAACACAGAAGGAAGGTGACTAAGAAAGAGAGTGAAGGACTAAAACTGGCTAAACTTTTCACTGGAAACCAAGACTCACTAGATAACTCATACTATGACTGGTACATTCTTATAACAAATAGTAGTGAACCAAATCAAACAAAGCACTTAGATTTTCTAAAGGAAATTAAATTGTTTGCTGTGCTGGAGTTTGATCCTTACTCTCAGATCAAGGGAGTGGTCAAAGCTTACAGAGAAAACCGGATAGCAAACCTTCACCTACTGGATCAGTACGAAGAAAAAACTACCATAGAGGAGAAGATTTCTACTATGAAACTTTATGACCAGCCCAGCTGGATCTTCTGCAATGGCAGAGTAGATTTGCAAAGTGACTCATGTCAACCACTAGAGCCACATTTATGGCAGAGAGATAGAGCATCCGGAGTTAGGAAACTAATTTCATTTCTCACAGATGAAAATATATTGCCAAGAGGGAAATTTTTGGTGGTGTTTCTCTTGCTTTCTCCAGTAGAAAACCAAAAAAATCCACTCATAGAGACTTTCTGTGCTTTTTATCAAGTTTTTAATGGAATGGAAAATATGCTGTGTATCTGTGTCAACTCAGAGATTTACCAATGCTGGAAAGATCTACTACAAGTAAGACTGGAAATCGAAAAAGATTTAGAAAACCATAGCATTTCCACTTTAAATATAGAATTGATCAACAGTACCATCCTTAAACTGAAATCAGCAATTCAGTCTTCAAGAAGGGTTTTGCCCTCCTATGGATCTTCCTCGGTGTTCCTGGAGAAGAAGGAGGAAGACATCCTGACTGCACTGGAAATCCTCTGTGAAAACGAGTGTAAAGACACAAATATAGAGAAAGATAAATCTAAATTCTCAGACTTCAAGAAATCAAAAGAAGAGCATTTTTATCGAGGTGGCAGAGTCTCCTGGTGGAACTTCTATTTTTCTTCTGAAAACTATTCTTCAGCTTTCGTGAAAAGGGACAGTTATGAAGAACTTGATACTTTAATACACATTTGCGCAGAATCTCCTAAGCCATTATTTGCAAAAGTCATCAACCTTTACCATCATCCGGGTTGTGGTGGTACAACATTGGCTATGCATGTTCTCTGGGACTTAAAGAAGAAGTTCAGATGTGCGGTCTTAAAAAACAAAACAACTGACTTTGAAGAAATTGGAGAGCAAGTAAGCAAGCTGATCAGCTACAAGACCAACAGCCACCAAGATTACATCCCTGTTCTTCTCCTTGTGGACGATTTTCAAGAACAGGAAAATACCTACATTCTGCAGAATGCCATCAATTCCTATTTAGCAGAGAAGGGTTTGCGGTATGAAAAAACATTAGTAATTATCTTAAACTGCATGAGATCTCAGAATCCAGATGAAAGTGCCAAATTAGCAGATAGCATTTCACTAAAATACCAACTTTCTCCCACAGAACAAAGAGCTTTTGAGGCCAAACTACAAGAAATTGAAAAGGAGTACAAGAATTGTGAAAACTTTTATTCCTTCATGATCTTGAAAAGCAATTTTGACACATCCTACATAGAAAATGTCGTAAAGAATATACTAAAAGAACTGGATGCTCATCAGAAGAAAGCACAGCTCATTTCTTTCCTGGCATTACTCAACACCTATGTTACTGACTCTACAATTTCAGTATCACAATGTGAAATCTTTTTGGGAATCACATACACTAATAAATTTCGGCAACCTGAAAGTGTAGAAGACAACATGGGAACGTATTCTACACTTCTAATAAGAACAGAAGTTTTAGAACATGGAAGATACACTGGTATCCGTATGATTCACCCTCTCATTGCTGATTACTGTTTAAGGGAACTGGAAAAAAGCTGTAACATGGATAAGTGCCAAATTGCATTGAACATACTAGAAGAGAATATATTCTATGATTCTGGAATAGGAAGAGACAAATTTAAACACGATGTGCAGACTCTTCTGCTTACAAGACAGCGAAAGGAGCATGGAGCCGAAACGGACACTTTGTTTTCCCCATTAATTGAAGCTTTGCAGAATGAAGAAACTGAAAAGGTCTTGACTGCAGGAAGTGATCGATTCCCACAAAATGCATTTATTTGTCAGGCCTTGGCAAGGCATTTCTATATTAAAGAGAAGGACTTTAAAACTGCTCTGGTCTGGGCAAATTTGGCCAAAAAGAAAGCACCTAAAAATTCCTATATTTCAGATACACTTGGTCAAGTCTACAAAAGTGAAATCAAATGGTGGCTGGATAAAAACGAAGCCTGTAGGACTATTAGTGCTAATGATCTAAAGCATTTTCTAGAAGCTTCTGAAAAAGCCTCAAAGGCTTTCAGAGATTCTCAGCAGCAAACTGACAGTAAAGACTATGAAACTGAGGCCTGGTCACCACAGAAGTCTCAGAGAAGATACGACACATACAATACTGCTGGTTTCTTCGGAGAAATTGAAGTAGGTCTCTACGCGATTCAGATTCTTCAACTCACCCCCTTTTTCCACAAAGAAAACGAATCATTAAAAGAATCGATGGTACAGTTTCTATCCGGAAAGGGCAACATCCCTCCAGATCCAAAGAATGAGTATTATGTGGTTCTCAGCCAGTTTGCACCCCACTTACAAAATTTACAAACAGATTTGAAAAGATGCTTTGATTTTTTTGTTGATTATATGGTTCTTCTGAAACCAAGAAACACCCCAAAAGAAATAACAGAACTCTTAGTGAGCAAGAAAGTCAGCCGTTGTTTCAAGAAATACATAGACCTTTTCTGCTTGGATTCAAGCTCATTACAAGGCAAAGAGATTCAGTTATTCCAGGAAGAGAACTGCAGAAAACGCATAGAGGCTTTGAGAGCAGATACATTTTCTGGACTCCTAGAGTATCTTAATCCAAACCACAAAGATGCTGCAACCAACATGGAAAATATAGTGATTAGCTACACCTTCCTATTACAGCAAAACCCCAATAAGCGGCCGACAAAGGAAAAACAAAATTTCATTTTGGCCAATATCATTCTCAGTTGTCTAAAACCCAATTCTAAACACATCCAGCCATTTATTTTGTTAAAAAAACATCTCAGAGAAGTTCTGCAACATGTAGGACTATGTCATCCACACCCTGATCCTTATTTCCTGGCCTGCCTCCTATTCTGGCCAGAAGACACAGAGCTAGATCAAGATTCTGAACAAATAGAAAGATATGTCTCATCCCTAAATAGAGCCTTCAGGAGACAGTACAAGCACATGTGCAGGGCCAGGCAGCCAAGCACACTTTTGTACCTAGGGAAAAAGAAAGGTCTTAACAGTCTTGTTCACAAGGCTGAAATCGAGCAACTTTTTGGTAAAGTACAAGACTCAAATTCCTTCTGGAAGAGTGGAGATGTATGGGAAAGAAAAGAACTCAGAGACTTCCTGCGTCGACTGGATGGTCAGGCGGAAGGCAGGCTAATCTCTGTAGAATATGGAACAGAAGCAAAAATAAAAATACCAGTGACGTCTGTGTACTCAGGTCCACTTAGAAGTGGCAGAAACATAGAGAGAGTGTCTTTCTATCTGGGGTTTTCCATTGAAGGCCCTCTGGCATATGGCATAAAAGTAATCTAAGAAGGTGCATTATTTCAAATCTGTTTTTCCATATCTAAGATTGCACTTCCTCTTTTATCTCATAGCTTTTTAATGACATTATTGGCTTAAATTTTTTAAATCCCAGTCTGTTGCTGTCTCTCTGAATCAATTATAGAAGACTTTCTAGGACATGAAATGTGTCCACATGGCAGAGTTTGGCACATGATAGCATTAATCATTTCATATCTAATACGCATTCCCAGATTGACATATTTAGTTAACATGTTTCAGTTGGTTTCTACTGGTCACACCATAACTGGCCAATAAAATCTGTCTTAAATTCAATCACTTCTCTGAATTATCTGAATTCTTTTTCTTATGAAAACTTCTATTTAAAAATAAACTCATGAAAATTATATCCAATGGACTAAAGATAAGATAAATGTATAGATTCTGGGTTTTGCCAGATACCTTGTGACTATTGTATGGGTGTCTACTATATTATTCTCAATTCGCAGGAAAGCATGCTGAAGCTCTCTAAGTATGGGCAAGTTACCTAGGGTTAAAATGGGAAAGACTATGATATGAGTCCAAACCTGAATCTGACCAGTTCTACAGTTTAAATTCTTTCCACTGAGCTATGTTATAAGGAGTACTTCAGCTCATCTTCAAAAACTTCTGGGCAACTATTCTGAGATTTCCAGAACAAAATGAAACTCCTGAAATAGCTTTCAAAGTCTATTACTTTACAACTGAGAAACGTAAGACTAACGGGAATTCGAGGGACTCACTTCCTACAGTAGGGTTATTGCTAAAATTCCATCTGGGAAGCATAAACAATATCTGCTCCCTCCTCCCTTGGTATCTATGACAAATCAAGGTAAAGTTTCACCAAATGGCAGTCTGGGAAACTCATAAGTTTATTGGGCACACTTACAGAGCGGGCACACTTACAGAGCAGTAAGTTAGGGTTTACTTAAAAGAATGTGGGTGCTCCCCTCCTAGGGCTGTATTGGAAAGTCTTCATCCAAGTGTGAATGGTGACTTCCCCACAGTCACATTAAAATGGCAAGAAAGCCTCCCCTCTGCTTCCTTAGCTTATATACTCTTAGCCCCTTTCACTTGTGCAATTAGGGCCTGCTGTCTGGTTGGGAGATGTGACTGACTCACACTACCTCTCCTTTCTTGTGGAGAATAACAGTCAACAAGTTTAGCTATGATGAACCTAGGCAAACGGATGCATCCAAGCTTGGGAATAGGCATCTGTCCATGATCTGTCTGTCAAAAGACAATCCTATGCAACATTCCACTCCTGCCTCTACTCTTAACATTCTTTCCACCATCCTCTTCTGCAACAGCCCCTGAGCCTTGGAGGGGGGGTGACATAGATGTAGAATGACCTTTCTCCCACTACAGTAAGGTGCTGAACCCTTGGGCATTCACACCATCTTTTTTCAGGAAATGGCTGTTGGCTCATCCCAGTGGTATTCTTCTTACTATAAAAACACAAATGAAAAGGAAGAAATGGGAACATATAAATAGATACTGGGGCATAAACACAAATGCTTGAAAGGTACCTCAGCAGGGGTATAACATCCATCTAATAAAATATCCGCAGTGGCTTCCCCACTGGAGCCTATAATTTCCCCTGCCACCGAGGGTAAGCCTACCTTGCAGTACCATATGTGTGCTCCTCCGTAAGGAGTGGGCTTTAAATCCAATTGGAGGTATGTTGATTTTACATATGCTATTTGTGTTGCTATTGCACCAGTAGGCACGTCTTGCTTGGCATGTCAATAGTGCAGCACTCAAGTCTGTCATTAAGTAGAACTGGTGAAAATTCTCCCCCAGTGATCTACAAAGCACCTTCTGGCACTATGAAGGTCAGCCATCCCACAGTGGGGAGTTTCCAGCTCAGTCCTAGCTTGATTTCGATCATTCCCATGCTCACATGATGCGGTGTCTTTAGCAACAGGGTCTTAGAGTTTTGTTCTGGAACGTGCCAATATTAGTGACAAAAATCTTTATCCTTTTCAGGGCCTCTGGGGCCTCCCTGGCCAACAGTTCATTGGGGGCAGGGAGGAACCCACCCCTGGCACTAGAATTTTCATTTGACAATCAAACAGTTTCTGTGCGTCTCTGTTTGTATTTTTATAGGCTATCTTTGTTTACTCTTTAGAATCTACAGGCCCAGGTTTTTGTAGATTTTTCCCAACCATCTCAGTGGATATCACTTATGCCTTACCCAACCATAAAGTTTCCAAAGAATTTCACAGCTGTACCTTCGTGCCCCTTTGTGAATCTATTTTCCATCCTTGTTTCTTCAGGTGAAATTGAATATTTTCAAATGGGTTTCCACATCTGCAAAACACTCAGAGGTTAACATTATGTCATTTGTATCATGAAAACTTTTTCCAGAGGATGGGCAAAACAATGCATCATTCAGCCCATAATGAATACTGGAGTTACAAAGACTTCATGATATGCTGAAAATTTATTGTCCTCTCTTCCAAGCAAGTGCCAGGTGATCACAGAAACTCAAAAACTAAGAAGATACTAAATCAAACATAAAGAAGGTCTAACAGCATGGAAATATTTCATCTATTTTTATCAGTTTTTTTCTCAGCAGATTCATGTTGAGTACCATAGGACAAATATGAGGCATTAACTTAGTTACCTCTTTACAGCCTTTAGTCATTTTCTCTGAGCCATTCCATTTCCATATCCTAGAGCTCTTACTTGGAGCCTCCCTGCATTTCTCCATCCCTGATGAACTTGGTGGGACTGGCTCAAGCTGTAGGCCCTGCACAGGGCCAAGGAGGAATTGGGCCCCATTGAACTCTGCTGCACCTGTTGGTTCTCTGGGTCAGATAGGCTCTGGATCTGCCCCATCACTGTATCCACATCTGTTGCCTCTCCATTGACTATACATGGCTGCTGGGGGAAGCCCTGGCTAGGCAAACTATTTCCACCTCTAGCCTAACCTTTCACAGGAGAGAAATGTATCCTGTTTAATATGGGGGGAACTCTTATCCACCCATGGGACAATTTTTATCTTGTTCACCTATATTATTTTATCATGGATGCTTTCTGTGAACGGCTCCTCAGGCTTTAAAGCCCTCCAGAAGCTCCTTCAAGTTCATGCCTCTTTTCTGCTTTGCTTTTCTCCTATCTCATCTAGTTTCACTACCATTTTACAGACATGCTTTACATGCTGCTCTAAGTCACTTAGGTCTGCTAAAGCCTTTCCAAATTCACAAAGATCCTGCCCCATTAAGGGACTCAACAAAGCCACTAAAGCTCCATATCAATCTCAAGGTCCCTGATGAGTCAAGTTCTTTTTAAAATCTCTGGTGAATGCAATCCTATTTGACCCAGTGAACTGGGCATCATACACTACTTTTCTCATAGCTAGTTCCCTCATTAGTGCCTGCCCCTCCTCCAGTATACTCCACCATATCCCTGATATCCATGGGAACCTCCACTGGTGATGACCAAGTATCTCTAATGGCTTGTATAAGTAAGTCAGTCCATCAGGGACTGCTTCCCCCTGTACTGCCTCAGGTTATCCAGCCTGTGTCTCAAGGAGGGATGGGTGGTTATGTTGCTCAGCTTCTCTTCTTCTGCAGCACCTAAACTAATTCCATCTGTCCCCATGTCTCACAGCCTCACAGCAAGGTGGTGAGGGGCTCCTTTATTGCCTATTTGACCATCTTCTGTAGTTCCAACAACTCCAGTGCTGAGTAGTCTCTGATTACCACTCTTACACCAGACCATTGTTAAAGCATCTGTCAGCATGCTGAACCATGGATGCTCCTTTCTTTATTTTAAGGTCGAACCTGAGGGGCATCTTAAGCTATTTCTAGGTCACTTTCTCATCACTACTTGCCTCCTCCCATGGCTTTCTGATTTTAGGATCCCAAGATGAGGCTTGTATTATTAATCTATTCTGGGCTCTCTTTTGTTTTTCGCCCCCTAACAGTAAAAAATGGTAGGCAAAAACTTCCGTCTATGTTTCTATTTTATTCAATTTACTGATTAGGTCAAAGGCCAATACTGAAGAGGCCTACCTCATATCACTTTCTTGCTGCAACTTCTCTCTTATACCTTCAGTTTCACTCTGGGCTACTTCCTGAGACAAATCTCTTATTACCCATAGGAGTGGCCATGTTTCCTCTGCAGCTGGCCTTCCTCTGGTCAGCTGTCAAAATTTCCTCTGACAACATTCTCCCCTAATCCAGCTTCCCTTTTGCTGTTGGTCTCCTTCCCCATATCAGGGACAACACCATCACTCTCTCCAAACTCATCCTCATATCCTGGTTGACTGCGCCAAGTGTCACTAAAATCCTTCTGGGAAGTATGAATAGTGCCCCCCCTCCTCCCTTGGTACCTGTGTCAAATTGAGGTACAATTTCACCAGATGGCAGTCTGGGAAACCACTGAGTTTATTGGACTTACTTAAGGGCAATGGGTAAGGGTTTACTTACAGGAGTGTGGGTGCTCTCCACATAAGGTCGCACTGGAAAGTCTTCATCAAAGCATGGATAGTGACTTCCCCACAGCCACATAAAATGGGGAGAGAGCCTCCCCTGCACTTACTCAGCTTATATACCCCTAGCCCCTTCCCTTCATGCAACTAGGGCTGACCGGTGTTTAGGACGTTCAGCTGACTCTCCCTGCCCCTCTTTCTTGCAGAGTATAACAGTCAATAAGCTTAGCTGTGATGATTCCAGGCAAGTGGATGCAACCAAGCTTGGGAAGACAGCATCTGTCCTCTGACAGACATAGGTCTGTCTGTCGGAGGACAGTCCTATTCAACAAGGGTCTAACCTAAACCCTTTAGATTCTAGTGACTGTTTTCCTATTCCTATTGCTAGTAACATGAAAACAAAATTGGCAAAATGGATTGCTCAATCAAAGAAAGTGTCACTGAATTATTTCTTCACTGTGAAAGTAGAGATTTAACTAAGAAGAATATAAAAGTGGGGCTGAAGATATGGCTCAGCAGTTGAGTGTTTACTGCTCTTGTAGAGAACCCAAGTTCAGTTCCCAGCACTAACTGGGTGGCTTACAACCGCCTGTAACTTCAGCTCCAGAGATCTGACACTCTTTTCTGGTCTCCTTTGACACTTGCGTTCATGTGCACATACCCACACAGAGACACACATGCAAACATCTAATTAAAAATAAACCCAGAAAAATAGAGTTCCAGAGACTTCCACACTGGGTCCACTGAGACTTAAAAAAAAACAAAAAAAGGATAGTTTTAAAAAAGCACCATCTAGGAAGATGGGTATATTGGTTTCAAGGTCACAAAACCACCACAGAGCTCCACTCACCTCATC